AGGAGGGAGGGAGACAAAGTGTTCAAGGCAGAGGCTTGCTGCTCACATCGCAGAGGTCCTTGCACTCTGCTCCCTACCCCGTGCCCCTTCCCCACGGGAGGTCTTTGGTCTTTGATTCAGGTCTTAGGTCTTTGATCACAGTGCTGCCCTCCACCCCAGACATGTCTGCTCATGGCCCTGGGGGGTGAGACCTGCTCTGAGCAAGCCATTTGGACGCTGAGGCACTCCATCATAAGGCTGCGGCTATCAGCTGACTCTGCGCTCTGAATTTACTAGTTGTCATTCCTTTAAACTGAAAAATGCTAAGTTTATGGAGCTGCCTGTGCCCCCTTGGGCATCTGTGGGGTGACGCTGTCTGGTTGCAGAGAAAAAGCATAACTGCGAGGCCGCCCTTGCAACGCGTCACACCCTGAGATAAATCACTCGAGTGAGCCAGCCTTCAAACGTTGGCACTTTCGAATGCCTTTGTCTAAGGCAGACATGCCTGGCTTGTTTGCAGAATGAAGAACTTGGGACAAGTTGTGCTGTCAACACTGAGTCACTTATCAGGGTAAATAAATATATGCACATTCCCCTAGTCAGCTTGATGGCCAGGTCAAGGGATGTTTAGTATCAGCCCAGAGAGCGAGAAAGGAGCACAGTTCCATAGACTGGAGTTACAGATGGATCTAGAAAACAGGAACCTTTTTCGTGTGTCTATAATTGTATACTATGTTTGCAGCTCTGACCTGTGACAGGGTTAGTTTCTTCCACAGAAGGTCTGCAGAAAAAAATAGGTTCCCAAACAGGTCCAGCAGCCCCAGATGTGATCTCCCTCCCTCTCTCCCTCTCCTGCATGCTAGCTGCTACATCTGAAGCTTGTTTGTGATAGCCAAGGCTTATCTGAAGGCAGAAGCACAGGCCAGAGCACTCCCTCCACGGGCTCCCCTTTGGCCCCCCGCAGTCAGGAGGGGCTGTGCTTGGCTGCAGACTCACCAGCAGGAATATGGGCATCTCTTGCTGTAGCGACAGCAGTAAAATTGCCACTCCCGATCCAGCACGGACTCGAAGTAGCGGCTCTGGAACCCTGCCACCAGCCCATTGCTGGAGCACGTCTGGTACCTGAAGACAAGAGGACAACCCCAAGTGAACTAGTGACAGTCACACACCAGCAGACCCCTTCCCAGGACCCCAGCTCTCACAGTTACTGAGGCAGGCCCCTATCTCACCGACCTCGAGTCCTAACAACTGATTCCTTTTAAATACACATAACAAAGATGTTATATTTGTAGAAATGACATATGCTCACCATTAAATTCAGACAATTCAGAATCTGTCAACTGAAGGACATTTGGGGACTGCTGCTCCTGGGAGACCCCTAGAATATATTATTAGATGGAAGAAAGCATAAATGGGCAGATATAGAAGCATCTAGAATTTTACCAGTGCACAATTGTCTTTTTCATGCCATTTCAAACAACAGATAGTTTAATTCATTTTTCACTTGAATTTAAAATAGAAAGAAAACAGAGAGAAACACAAGGAACTGATAAACTTCCAGTGAGGGTTTCTTCTGCTTAGAGCAGGGCGCTGGAAATTGAGTCCAAGGGTGCTCCTTCATTTGACGCTCAGACAGCAGCAGAGCCTTTTGTCCAGGGTGGCCCGGTAGGGCAGCTGGGAACACACCCCGGGGTTTCACTCCCTCCCCCGGAAACTTCCTACCGCCCGCTGGACTCAAAGCTCTACACGGTCATGACGTGTTTCGTTCCAAACTCTACGCCCAGGGCCCACCATGGGTCCTGGCACATGGAGGTCCTCGCGGTGTTGTGACAGGCCAGCTGCCCTCCTCAGTCACCCTCTGAGGGTCCCTTTCCTGTCCTAGCTGCTCAGGTCTGATTCTTCAGAGAACATGGCCCCTCCTCTCTGGTCCACAGGCCTGCCCTTTAGTCGCATGAATTTTCATTCTTTTCTCTCTGCCTGGGCTGCTGGTCTGGGAATCGCCCCTTTTGTCTTCACAGCATGTTCCTGAGATGCGTTGGCTTGGAGCAGTGCGATCATTTCTTCCTCTGTTCTGTCTCCTTCTTCCTCCTTCTCCTGCCTCAGGTCCCACAGTGCCTTGCGGCTTGACGATGAGAGTGCTTTCCCCCCTCGCGTGGCCACAGGGGGCTCCCACCTTCTTACCACCCTTCCCAAATAGGTCTTCAGCTATCTCTGTTTCCTAGCGTTTCCTACCATCCCCCCTCACCCCCCCCACGTTTCCTCTCATGAGTGAGCCCAGCAGGCTGCCCTCTGTGTGTCACAGGCTGGCGGCAGCTGGAATTCAACCCTGTTTTCCAAGTAAAGATAAGTTTCTAGAAAATAGGATAAAGTAGAGTAAGTGCCCTGTGCCGACAGGTGAGAGGGACATTACAGACATACAACCTATAAAACCATCAGCGACTGGATTTCATTTTGTTCTAAAAAAATTACTGGAAACGATCTAATAGAGCTGACGAAAGTATATATTCAATAGATTTCATGTCCCTGGCCAGAAAGCATCTCTCCTTTTCATCCGTGTATTATTCACTTATTCACTTGAGCATGTATAATTTCAAATATGCATTTATTTATTCATTCATCCGTTCAACGAACTTGTCCTCCTCTACCTGTCTGTACCCATCACTGCTTGCGTGTTGAGAGGGGGGCGAGGCCCGGGGTCATCCATGCAAATTAGCCTGTCCCCAGGCCTCGAGAGAGGCTCTGGCGGACCTGAGAGTGCGCGCTCAACTGGAGGAGGTCAATAGTGCCAGCTAGGATGTGACCAGAGACCCGTGCCCTCTGAGGCGCTGGTCTTCTTTGTCCTCCCATCGCTCCCGTTGCATTGGGACTGTCACCACTGTGGACAGAGCCTGGCACACTTCAGGAAGCCATGTGACTGGGATGGCCCCTGGGGTCTGGGACAGTGTGGGGATGGTCTGTTCTAGCCTTGTTCTAGCAACAAGTGAGAGGCGTCTTCAGTAGGAAGCGCTAAGTGTTTAAACAACTCATGTGTGTCCAAAGAGAGAGCGTGCAGCAAACGTGCACCTTCTGTGACCTGCCTCCCTGCCATCCCTAAAACTCCGCCTTCCTCTCAAAGGGCCCTTTCAGAACGGAGTGGGCTGTGGTTTCCACGAACTGTTTATCTTCATCCCATTGTTTTGGCTTGAGCTGTGCTCTCAGACCGCCACAGGGGACAGTGTTCTCCAGTGGTAAGTCCCCTTAGGTAAAAATAAATGTGGCGAGATAAGCTGCCCTGCCTCATGGGGTACCCATGCCGAAGGCAATCCAAGTTCCATGAATTCCCCGCCGGCTGTCAGCCAGGCGGCTGGCCCCACGGTCCTCTGTGGGAAGTGTGTCTGTCACTCTGTCACACACCACCTCAGATAACGCTGCCCTGTGAAGATTAGTCGGACACCACAGGTCCCGGGCCCAAGAGCATACAGTGACACTTAGATAGACGCACAGAACCCCCCTCCCCAGCGTCTGTCCCATCGCCGTCACGTGTTGGAAGAGTGAGCCTGCACTGGAGTTTGGTAGGGCGTGTGGGTAGCGCACCGAAATTATTCCTCCCAGGAGTGGATCTTTGTGGGGGGTACGTTTGCACACTCACGCGAGGGGCAGCATAGCAGAGTGGTTAAGAGCTGGGTCACCTCAGGCGGGCTTCACGCCCTCTAAATGGCCTCATCTTTCTCATCTGTAAAATGGGCAGGCTAATAGCACGTACTTATTAAATTTGCTGTGAAGACCAGATAGCGCAATGCATATCTGAGTCCAGGGACAGTGTCTTTTAATGCCTACTAAGCTGCTTGTTATTGTCATCCTACTTTCATTGAGCGCACACTGCAATGGTGTCGGCTCTGTGAAAGCCGCCCTCGGCCCCCCCCCCCGGTGTCCAGTCAGTGGGAAGCTGGTGGGGTCACAGCATTCCCCCCTGCCGCTGTCCCCCCTTGAAAGCAAGGACAGAAAGCCCTCTCCTGTGCCTGTCATAGTGAAACAGAAGAATCAGGATGCGGAGGAAAGAGCCCTTGGTGAGGAGTCAGGGGCCATGGCTTCTGTTCCCGCCCTGACCTCAGCGCGTTGTGTGGGGCCTCACGTAGGTCATGAGAGGATTAAATGAAGTCACGCCTGGAAGCTCTTGGAGGATAGGAAGAGCCAGGATCCACACTCAGATTTCTGGGGGGCAAAGGTCCCGTGCATGAGCTCGCAGGGAGCACAAAATGTTGCTCTGAAACGATCCCTCTGCTTGTGGTCCGTCCTGCAGCCGGACCTTCTCCCCTGTTTTCTTCATCTTCGGGGCTGCTGGTCAGGCGGGAGGGTGCAGGCCAGGACCGGAAGGTGTGTGCATGTCTCATTTGGTTGGTGAGCTCCTCTGGGGAGTTTGGGCCTCTCCTTCCAGTCTCTGCTGGTCTCAGTCCAAACGTGTAGAGTCCAAAATCTCAGCCAGCTGTGGGTGGCCTTGGGTCGGGTGCAGGAGAGGGTCCCGGAAGCTGGGCTATCTTGGTAAGAGCTTTCACAGTCCCATCAACGGATGGGCTGCTCTTCGCTCTCCCAGCTCCACAGATGTACGACGTCTTGCCGGCGCTGCTGGCCGGTCTCCAGGCCCACTGCGGAGATGGAATCAGCAGCGTTGCCCGCCGTCCAGCCCCGTGACTAACTCCCTGCATCGGGGACACCATGTGGCATAGCCTCCTTTGCTCCCCCGAGCTTCTCCCTTGAGTTCTTCCCCAACCCAGCTTGACGAGGGCTGAAATCCCACCAAGAGAGCTTCCCTTCCTTGAAGGAAAGCTTTGAGGATTGTTAATTCTCAAATTAACAGATTGTTCTCCCCAGAACAATCCTTTGAGTTGCTCTCAGCTGGGTCCACAGAGTTTCCACAGAGTTTCAGAGAGTTCATCGAGTCTTTCAACAAATGTCCGACAGAACCTCTTCTCTACCTGACGCTGTACGGGCCTGGCCCCCTTTCCGGAGGACTGTCCCGGGGAGCAGACACGGCGGCAGCGCAGCTCTTGGGAGAAGCTGACTGGTGCTAAAGATTAAGGAGAGTAAGTGGAGGCTGGGTGAGGGTGGGCAGGGCCGTGGCCTCGGGCAGAGACAGACCCAGTTTGGAGCAAGCTGACCCAGTGAGGAGGTGTACAAGTCCTGGTTCCTCCCTGAACCCCAGCAGGCTGACTCCATGCCCCGCCGTGTCCTTTTTGCTGACACTTATGCACCATGGGGATGAGAATCCCCACCTGAGAGTATTGTCTGAAGATTAAAGAGATGCTGTATGTCAAGTGTCTACCGCACGGGCAGGCTCAAAGTATGTTATAAAAAGGCGGGAGAGGTAGTAGTTTTTGTTATAGCGTCATAAATATTTACAGTGAGATAGAGAAGCCACATCCTAGTGTGCAAATCCACTTCCTGGCGGGGCCTGTGTCAGGAACTCTCAAGGTCTGAGTCTTCCGGTGGGACACTGAGATGAGCCTCCGAAAATAGATAGCAAAGCATAAAAACCATTTTTTTTGTTCTTTTTGCGAGAAGTCTTTCTGTCTTGACAATTCCAGCTCATGCTGATTTTTCTTCCCCGTGACATATTGTCACCATCACACAGTTCATCTGACACACACTCTCACTGAGTCATGCCGTGGTGAGATAGTGCCGGGTTTTGAAGGCAAACACTGTGCCACTTACTGAGTCCTCCGGCCGCGGTGGTGGCATCTGAATAATCCCTTTGATAATGCCGAGTTGTGGGCGGTCTGCTCTCTCCCTGCCTTCATCTGGGTGAGGGTGCTGCTGTCTTCTCCATGTCCAGGCTTTAAGTCTGCTGGTCTGTCTACCAGGCTTCAAGATGGTGATGCAGAGATGACCTGATAGACTGCTTCTCTGGGTAGAAAGACGTAGAGTAGGACAGAGGGAGAAATACAGGTTCCCTACTGCTTAGTAGCCTGCCCCACTAAGTGGCAGAGGCTACCCAAAGGCCTCTGAGGAGATCAGACTGTCTTCTGAGATGTACTTGTGTCCTGAGATCACCTGGGCTCTGAGAGCGCTTCCAGGTCACACAGGATGGAAGGCTTAAGCACAGAAGCTCATGAGCACCAATTATTACAATATTCGTTAATGCCACT